TCATTCTTGGGGCATTGGTTGTTAAAGATTAAAACAATTTTTGGGTAAACAAAAATGAACCCCACGGCGCTTGGGTTCGAACCCGCCTCGGAAAAACTGGTGCCTTAACCAGCCCCAGACCCCTCGGCCACGTTTTACCCCGGATTCACGTTGGGTGTTCTTTCATTTTTAGGAGCATTGGTTGTTAAAGCTTTAAAAAACATTCTCGGAAAAAAAAATGAAGCACTGGCAGCGGTGGTTCGAACCACGCCCCCCAAGACTGGTCCTTTAAAACCCAGCCACCCGCCACCTACCCTGGGATTATTTTTAGTGTTCTTTCCTTTTTTTTAGGACTTGGTTGTTAAACTTAAACATTCTGGAAAACAAAAAATGAAGCACTGGCGGCGGTGGGGATTCAGAACCCACGCCTCCGGAGACTGTTACTTAAACCAGCGCCTTAGCCCGCTCGGCCACGCTACCTCGTTTACGTTGGTAGTGTTTTCTTTCATTCTTAGGAGCATTGGTTTTTAAAAAGCATTAAAACAATTCTCGGAAAAACAAATGAAGCACTGGCAGCGGTGGGATTCGAACCCACGCCTCGGAAAAGACTGGTGCCTTAAACCGGCGCCTTAACCGCTCGGCCACGCTCCCCTCGGATTCACGTTGGTAGTGTTCTTTTTCATTCATTAGGAGCATTGGTTGTTAAAGCATTAAAACAATTCTGGTAAACAAAAATGAAGCACTGGCAGCGTGGGATTCAACCACGCCTCGGAGAGCTGGTGCCTTAAACCAGCGCCTTAGACAGCTCGGCACGCTACCCTCGGATTCACGTTGGTAGTGTTCTTTCATTCATTAGGGCTTTTGGTTGTTAAAGCATTAAAACAATTCTTGGTAAAACAAAAATGAAGCACTGGCAGCGGTGGGATTCGAACCCACGCCTCCGGAGAGACTGGTGCCTTAAACCAGCGCCTTAGACAGCTCGGCCACGCTACCCTCGACTTCACGTTTTTAGTGTTCTTTCATTCTTTAGGAGCATTGGTTGTTAAATGCATTAAAAACATTCTCGGAAAACAAAAATGAAGCACGGCAGCGTGGGATTCAGACCCCGCCTCCGGAGAGACTGGTGTTAAACCAGCGCCTTAAAGACCGCTCGGCCACGCTACCCTCGTTCACTTTTGGTAGTGTTCTTTCATTCATTAGGGCTTTGGTTGTTAAAAGCATTAAAACAATTCTCGGTAAAACAAAATTGAAGCACTGGCAGCGGTGGGATTCAAACCCACGCCTCCGGGGGAGAACGGGTGCCTTAAACCAGCCTTTAGACCGCTCGGCCACGCTACCCTCGGTTTCCCGTTGGTAGTGTTTTTTTCATTCATTAGGAGCATTGGTTTTTAAAAAGCATTAAAACAATTTTTGTAAAAAAAAAAATGAACACTGGCAGCGGGGGGATTCAACCCACCCCCGGAAGACTGGTGTTAAACCACGCCAGACCGCTCGGCCACGCTCCCTCGGATTCACGTTGGTAGTGTTTTTCATTTTTAAAACTTTGGTTGTTAAAAATTAAAACAATTCTCGGTAAAAAAAAAATGAAGCACGGGGCTTTTGAACCCCCCTCGGAAGACTGGTCCCCCCCTTAGACCCTGGCCACCTACCCTGGTTAGTTGTTAGTGTTCTTTCATTCTTAGGGCATTGGTTGTTAAAAACTTAAAAAAATTTTTGGTAAAAAAAAAATGGCAGGCACGGGGGGATTCGAACCCACCCCCCGGAGAGACTGGTTTAAACCCCCCTTTTAGACCGCTCCCCGCTCCCCTCGGTTCACGTTTAGTGTTCTTTCATTCTTAGGGTTTTTGTTGTTAAACATTAAAAAACCCTCGGAAAACAAAAATGGCCCCTGGCAGGGGTGGGTTCGCCCACGCCTCCCGGAAAAACTGGTGCCAAACCCACCCTTAGACCGCTCGGCCCCCTCCCCTCGGTTCCGTTGGTAGTGTTCTTTCATTATTAGGGCTTTGTTTTTAAAAAACTTTAAAAAAATTCTCGTAAAAAAAAAATTGAAGCACTGGCGGCGGTGGGTTCGAACCCACGCCTCCGGAACTGGTGCCAAACCAGCGCCTTAGACCGCTCGGCCAGTACCCTCGGTTTTCCGTTGGTAGTGTTCTTTCATTCTTTAGGAGCATTGGTTGTTAAATGCATTAAAACAATTCTCGGTAAAACAAAAATGAAGCACTGGCAGCGTGGGTTCGAACCCGCCTCCGGAGAGACTGGTGCCTTAAACCAGCGCCTTAGACCGCTCGCCACGCTACCCTCGGATTCACGTTGGTAGTGTTCTTTCGTCATTGAGCATTGGTTGTTAAAAGCATTAAAACAATTCTCGGTAAAACAAAAAATGAAGCACTGGCAGCGGTGGGATTCGAACCCACGCCTCCGGAGAGACTGGTGCCTTAAACCAGCGCCTTAGACCGCTCGGCCACGCTACCCTCGGATTCACGTTGGTAGTGTTCTTTCATTCATTAGAGCATTGGTTGTTAAAAAGCATTAAACAATTCTCTGTAAACAAAAATGAAGCACTGGCAGCGGTGGGATTCGAACCCACGCCTCCGGAGAGACTGGTGCCTTAAACCAGCGCCTTAGACCGCTCGGCCACGCTACCCTCGGATTCACGTTGGTAGTGTTCTTTCATTCTTAGGAGCATTGTGTTAAATGCATTAAACATTTCGCAAAACAAAAATGAAGCACTGCAGCGGTGGGATTCGAACCCACGCCTCCGGAGAGACTGGTGCCTTAAACCAGCGCCTTAGACCGCTCGGCCACGCTACCCTCGGATTCACGTTGGTAGTGTTCTTTCATTCATTAGGAGCATTGGTTGTTAAAAGCATTAAAACAATTCTCTGTAAAACAAAATGAAGCACTGGCAGCGGTGGGATTCGAACCCACGCCTCCGGAGAGACTGGTGCCTTAAACCAGCGCCTTAGACCGCTCGGCCACGCTACCCTCGGATTCACGTTGGTAGTGTTCTTCATTCTTAGGAGCATTGGTTGTTAAAGCATTAAAACAATTCTTGGTAAAACAAAAATGAAGCACTGCAGCGGTGGGATTCGAACCCACGCCTCCGGAGAGACTGGTGCCTTAAACCAGCGCCTTAGACCGCTCGGCCACGCTACCCTCGGATTCCCGTTGGTAGTGTTCTTTCATTCATTAGGGCATTGGTTGTTAAAAGCATTAAAACAATTTCTCTGTAAAACAAATTGAAGCACTGGCACGGTGGATTCGAACCACGCCTCCGAGAGACTGGTGCTTAAACCAGCGCCTTAGCCGCTGGGCCCACGCTCCCTTCGGATTCACGTTGGTGTGTTCCTTTCATTCATTAGAGGCATTGGTTTTTAAAAAGATTAAAACAATTCTCGGGTAAAACAAAAAATGAAGCACTGGCAGCGGTGGGATTCAACCCGCCTCCGGAGAGACTGTGCCTTAAACCAGCGCCTTGGGCCGCTCGGCCACGCTCCCTCATTCACTTTTGTTAGTGTTCTTTCATTCTTTAGGAGCTTTGGGTTGTTAAATGCATTAAAATCTCGGAAACAAAAAGAAGCACTGGCAGCGGTGGGATTTGAACCCACGCCTCCGGAGAGACTGGTGCCTTAAACCAGCGCCTTAGACCGCTCGGCCACGCTACCCTCGGATTCACGTTGGTAGTGTTCTTTCATTCATTAGGAGCATTGGTTGTTAAAAGCATTAAAACAATTCTCTGGTAAAACAAAAAATGAAGCACTGGCAGCGGTGGGATTCGAACCCACGCCTCCGGAGAGACTGGTGCCTTAAACCAGCGCCTTAGACCTCGGCCACGCTACCCTCGACTTCACGTTGTAGTGTTCTTTCATTCATTAGGAGCATTGGTTGTTAAAAGCATTAAAACAATTCTCTGTAAAACAAAAAATGAAGCACTGGCAGCGTGGGATTCAAACCACGCCCGGAGACTGGTGCCTTAAACCAGCGCCAGACCGCTCGGCCACGCTACCCTCGGATTCACGTTGGTAGTGTTTTTTCATTCATTAGGAGCTTTGGTTGTTAAAAGCATTAAAACAATTCTCGGTAAAACAAATTGAAGCACTGGTAGCGGTGGGATTCGAACCCACGCCTCCGGAGAGACTGGTGCCTTAGACCGCTCGGCCACGCTACCCTCGGATTCACGTTGGTAGTGTTCTTTCATTCATTAGGAGCATTGGTTGTTAAAATCATTAAAACAATTCTCGGTAAAACAAAAAATGAAGCACTGGCAGCTGGTGGGATTCGAACCCACGCCTCCGGAGAGACTGGTGCCTTAGACCGCTCGGCCACGCTACCCTCGGATTCACGTTGGTAGTGTTCTTTCATTCATTAGGAGCATTGGTTGTTAAAAGAATTAAAAACAATTCTTGGTAAAAAAAAAATGAACACTGGCGGTATTCGAACCCCCCTCGGAGAGACTCGGTCCCTTAAACCAGCGCCCTAGACACTGGCCACGCTACCCTCGATTAAAGTTTTTAGTGTTCTTTCATTCTTGGAGCATTGGTTTTTAAAAAGCATTAAAAAAATTCTCGGAAAACAAAAATGAACACTGGCAGCGGTGGGATTCGAACCCACGCCCCCGGGAAAGACTGGTGCCTTAAACCAGCGCCTTAGACCGCTCGGCCACGCTACCCTCGGTTTCACGTTGGTAGTGTTCTTTCATTCTTAGGGCATTGATTTTTAAAGCATTAAACAATTCTCGAAACAAATTAACACTGGCGGGGGTTG